TTCTTCTTCTTCTTCTTCTTCTTCTTCTTCTTCTTCTTCTTCTTCTTTCTTCTTCTTTCTTCTTCTTTCTTCTTCTTTCTTCTTCTTTCCTAATCCTGCTCTTTCACCCATTGGTGATTAGTTACACAAGAATAACTTCTTTCCTTCAGAACAAAGACATCTTTAACAAAGATGTTAGAGAGCTTTGCTTTGTCCTGAAGCCCCCTACCCAAAGTGTAGGCCTCCTTTATGCTGTTTTGAGTGCTCTGCATAGGGACCAGAGTCTGATCCCCACCCAGCACCTACATAAACCTGTGTTCAGTGGCCCTCCTGTGACCACAGTGTGTGAGAGGCAGAGACAAATTCCCCAGAGTAAGATGACTAGACAGACTAGTCCAGTCACCAAGTTCTCGATGAGAGAGCCTGACTGAATAGAATATATAAGGTAGAGAGGGATCAAAACACTTGGTGTCCACATCTGGCCTCCATAAGCACATATACTTTGGAAACCATTTGGAAATAAAGTCTTTTCTTCTGAAGTTTGTGATGAGAATACTTTTTTAAATTCTAGGCCCTCTCTAGAGAGAATTCTAATGTGTTGCAATTTTCAGTCCTCAGCATTGGGATGAATGGAATGTTGTTACTAATTAGCTAGCACAACTGAACACATTTTAGGATACAAAGGACAGAGCCTGGAGGGATTGCAACATCAGTGCTATTGAGTGGCTCCCTGTTTTATTAGCATTGCCATAATGTGGCACAGACATGACTTAAAACTTAATTGAAATGGTTTTTGAAGGTTTACTACCCCTGATTTTGAGCTTGGTTTGGTTTGGCTGAGACGTTTTCTATGTGTGGTTTTTCAGATAATCTCACTCTGTAGTTCCAGCCAGCCTAGAATTCACTATGGCATCCCAGACTGGCATCACACTCATGGCAATCCTAAGTATAAGGATTATATGCCTAATGTATTTCTGGCTAGGAAGTAAAATAAAATGCTTTTCTAGTTCTGGAACTTACACAGGTGGGATGGTTCAAAGGTAAAAGCATCAATGCTGCAAAACCCAATGACCTGAGTTTGATCCTGGGACCTAAATGATAGGAGAGAACTGACTCCAACAAGTTGTCCTTTGACCTCTATATGTCCACCGTGGTGAGCTTGTGTGTGTGTGTGCGCACCCACTCCCACCACACATATATACACACACATACATACAAACAAACACACAAAATATTTTTTAAATTAGAACTTGGAGGGATGGCAGCAATTAAGAGTACTTCCTGCTCTTGTCCAGGATCCAAGTGTTGTTCCTGTACTCATATCAGGTATTTCACAACCATCTTGTAACTCCAGTTCCGGGGGATCTGATGTCCTCTTCTGGCCTCTGGGAACCCACACAAAATATGGCATACACTCACACAAACACAGATGCACATAAATAATTTGTAAATTTTGCTTGGGTGTATGTATGTATCCTGCATATTTGAGGAGGCTGGGGGCGGGGGGGAAGAGCTTGCCAGACCTCCTAGGACTGGGGTTACAGACAGTTGTAAGCTACCATGTGGATGCCTGGGATTGAACCTAGGTCCTCTGCAAGAGCAGCAAGTGCTCATAACAACTGAGCCAACTTTCCAGCCCTGAAATAATTCAAAAGAAAACATCAATAAAACAATTTCTGGAACCTACAACTATGAATGAGTAGGATTCTTAGGCCCAGAAAATATTCAGTAGTCAACTGTTTTTTCGTGACTAAACATCTTTAAGAGTTTAGATTTTAAACTCAAATAGTCTCAGCTCCAATGATTATTCTTGATATTCTGAAAGTAAATGGATGTATTTTTACTATCATAAAGGTTTCTTATTATTGATAGTGCATTTGAGTTTAAAGTCTTTCAGATGTTGGGAGAACTGAAGATATTTTGTGATGGGCCTAGTGCAGGTGGCCTAATTCTGCAAGGGGCAGTCAATAGTGTTAACTAATGGTTCTGTTCAACCTGAGAAAAGCTCACACATTAACAAGCTCAATAGTTATCTGAAAGTTGAGAACCCTCGGCTTTCAGAGTTGTCAGCATAGAGCTCCGGCACTTGAGGTCCTGCAGGGAAGGTGGCTGGTGACAGCCAGTATTGTTGGTACTGAGTGCTTAGAGAGCAGAGCAGCAGCAGCAAACACAGCATACCTGCTACAGAGATGTGGTGTCTCTACCCTCAGAAGTTTATAGTCTAAGATACTTTGGAGGTAGAAAGAATAGGCCTTGCCGAAATATTCCTTAAAACCACCTTTAATTCTAGCACTCAGGAGGCAGACTGTGAGTTCAAGGCCAGCCTGATCTGTGTAGTGAGTTTCAGGATAGCCAGGGCTTATGCCTCAAGAGAACAAACAAAAAGAGAGTTCCTTAAGTTGTGGGTGGTGGTGTATAATTGTAATGAAATTTGGAAGGTGATGGTAGGAAGATCCAAAGTTCAAAATCAGCTTCATAGTGATGTTATTGAATGGCCTGGACTATATGAGACACTGTTTCCAAAAAAAAAAAAGGAAGAAGAAAAAAAACTGTCTTATTCATCTAGATGTGTGGTGGCACATACCTGTGAATCCAGCACTCAGGAGGCAGAAGTAAGAAGCAAGAGGATCACTGTAGGTTCAAGCCAGCCTTGACTACACATCATGTTTCAGGACAGCCAGAGCGGCATGATGAAGAAGCCCTGTCACAAAAGCAAAGCAATCCCCCCAAAAGTACTATTTTGAGCCAGGTGCTGATGGCTCTTGCCTTTTGTTTTGTTTTTTGGTTTGGTTTGGTTTGGTTTGGTTTGGTTTGGTTTGGTTTGGTTTGGTTTGGTTTTTCAAGACAAGGTTTCACTGTGTAGCCCTGGCTATTGTGGAACTCATTCTATAGATCAGGCTGGCCTCAAACTCAGAGATCCACCTGCCTCTGTCTCCTAAGAGCTGGGATTAAAGGTTTGTGCCACCATCTCCTGGCTTCAAATTTTATAACATTTCTATCACCCCCAAACAGTCCTCATTTGTGTGGGTGTTCAGTCCCTACCCTGCTTCCAGGCTGCTCTTATTTTGTCCTTGCTGGAGCTTGTCAGTGTACAGCCATCCATTGCAGCTAGCAGTGGTTTGTTTTGTTTATTGGAATGTTGTTTCTAAACATTCCTGGAAAGCATTTACACTTTTTAAGTTCTCATTTACATAGTTGCCTAAGGAATGAAATAATACTGAGTAACATGTTGAGTATGTGTTGAAATTTAAGAAATGGCCCAGTAGTTTTCTAGAGTGTATTCTATTAACTATGTATGAAGGCTCCAGTCACTATATTTTTCCAGTGTGTTTTATTCTCACTGGTGTGATGTGTTTCTGACATTGCTTGATGTCAGCGGCATCTTATAGTTTTGATTTGCATAGCTCTAATGACTAATAATGTTAGAGCAGCTTTCCTGTACTGCTTTGTTGTTTGTATATCTTAATTAAGTATCTACCAGAATCAATTGTCTGTATTTCATTAGGTTGTATATCTTAATATATTTAGTTACAGGTTCTTCATATATTCTGGGTGCAAGTCCTTTGTTAGATATATGTTGGAAACATTCTCTTCCAACCTCTAACTTTTTTTACATTCTTAAAGATGTCTGTCAATAAACAAAATTTTAATTTATTAAAATCAAATTTACCAGGTTTAATTTTACAGCTTTTACTTTTTGTATCTTATTGAATTGCTATTTTAGCATTGGCTTTTATGTTGTCTATTTTACATATATATTGGCTTTTGTTCATTTCAGCCAAGCTGTGCTAGTGGACAGGACCGTTTACATTTCTGGACAGGTAGGCATGGATCCTTCTACTGGACAGCTTGTGCCAGGAGGGGTAGTAGAAGAAGCTAAACAGGTAAGCCATCCTTCACATGGGAGGTTCCCGTTGCTACTACTTTACAGTAGTAGTATAACATTGAACAGTATTATATTGATAGGCCATGACCCTGAGTAGTTTGGTAGAAATCAACAGATGAATTTGTTGTCAGCTACTCAATATTTTATTTAAGACTTAAAAAACTTTTTTAGATTTATTTTATGTGTATAAATATTTTACCTGCATGTATGTGTGTACACCACTTATGTGCCTGTTGGATTTCCTAGAACTGGGATTATAAGTGGTCATAAACCACCATGTGTGTCCTGGGAATCTAACCATGGTTGTAACCATGGGCCATCACTACAGCCCCTTTAAGATGGTTCAACAACAGAAAAGAGGGAGAGCAACCTCCTTATCACTTCTGTTATCAAAATCAAATACCTGATGTGTCCAAATGAATTGCAAAGTTTATTTTCAGAGTCATTGACCTAACCTCCTCTCCCCAAAGTAAGTCACCACCACAGAAGGCAACAGTTGTTAGTAAAAGAAAAATATCAGTGATTACATGCAACATCTTAAAAAAAAAAAAAAAAAAAAAGAGGCCTAGCATAAGTGGAAGTCCTGAATCCAATGCCTAGCAACACACACACACACACAATTCTATTCCAATCCATTAATAGAATTAAATTGCAATTTAATGCATTTACTATGTCATGTGTAAGACCCAAGATAGAACACAACCTAAATGTCTGTCTTTAAGGAATTAGAATACTTATCCTAGATCTATGCAACTAATTTTATGAAAAGCTCTCTAATGTAGATTGCTGCATAGTAAAATCAACAAAGATACAGGATGATATGTACCATATGCTACCTACATGTTTGGGGATTTAAGAAAATGTGTGTTTAAGATCTGTTTGTGGTGGTGCACCCCTTTAATCCTAGCATTTGGGACATGAAAGCAGGAGGATAGGAAGTTCAAGCTCATCCTCAGCTACATAGTACGTTTGAGGCCAGCCTGAATTCTATCTAAACAAAACAAACAAACAAACAAATGTGGTTATGCTAGTATAAGCATTTACTGTTTCCAGAAATATATACAAGAAATTTGGGTGGACGTTTTTGTCTGCGTGTCTGTCTGTGTACTGTGTGTGTGCCTAGTGCTCACAGAGGCCAAAAGAGAGTCAGAGCCTTTGGAACTGGAATTATAAATAGTTGAAGTTACCATGTGGATTCTGGGAATAGAACATGGCTCCTCTGAGAAAGCAGCCAATGTCCTTAACCATTGAGCCCACTGTGGGAGAGAAGGGGCAAAAGAGATCTTTTCACTGTATGTGGGTTGGGGTTTTTTGTTTGTTTTTAGATTTTGAATTGTTTGCTTTATCCATGTATTATGGGGCTGGAGAGATGGCTCAGAGGCTAAGAGCACTGGCTGCTCTTCCCAAGGTCCTGAGTTCAATTCCCAGCAACCACATGGTGGCTCAGCTGTACTGCCCAGCTATATATGACCATCTATAATGAGATCTGGTGCCCTCTTCTGGTATGTAGGCAGAACATTGTATATATAATAAATAAATAAATCTTGAAAAAAAGAAAAGAAAAAGAATAACTCTTAAAAAAGAAACACAAAAAAGTAAAATATTGTTACCACCTAAGGTGGGAGGAAGAATTAGTTGAAAAAAGTAAGTTGATGCTAGGATTTTAAAACTAATGTTTTTCCAGAGACCTCCTGTCAAAACATATATTAACTCATTAATAATGTTTTGATTGTTTGAGGTTTTATTTTAGATTTGAGAGGAAGGGTCATTGTTTTAGCTTTTGAGACCTTAGGTCTCCTGTAGCCTAGGCTGGCTTTGTACTCAGTATGCATCCATAGGTGACCTTAAACTCCTCATCCTCTTGCCTTAACCTCCCAAGTACAACACCATAACCATCTCCATTCTGGTATTCCTACAATATAATACAGGCTTTCCACTACATTTCAGAACGATTCAGTCCACTAACAGAAAACCAGTACAAAATTGAATTGTGTGGAACATCAATTAACATAATTACATAACATGTGCATCTTTCACCTTTTTTGGCTTGATTCACAGGCTCTTAAAAACCTGGGTGAGATTTTGAAAGCTGCAGGCTGTGACTTCACTAATGGTGAGCAACTGGGTCTTTCTGCACTGTTAACTGATGGGTGTTGTTTTTTATATTGTTTGCAGAGCTCAGGATCCAACTCAGGGCTTCATGCGTGTGAGGCAAGCACTCCACCAGTCAGCCACACCTCCACACTGTTAGTGTGTGTTTGATGTTTTCTTGGTCTTTGTGGAGGACATATAATATCCAATAATATGTCATTCTATGTCTTTGTTGCTAAAGGTTGTGTTCATAGTGGTCTAGGAAACAACACTGTTTCATTTCTTCAATCTTGTTTTCATCAATAGTCATCAAATAAAAAAATTGGGGGGCAGTGTTGAGACAGTATTTCTCTGTGTAGCTTTGGCTGTCCTGGACCAGGCTGCTGGCCTTGAACTCAGAGATCTGTCTACCTCTTCTTCCTGAGTGCTTGGATTAAAGGCGTGCACCACCACTGCCCAGCTATACATTTTATTTCTAAGTCTTGTTTTGAGTCTGATGAAATTTGGCTAAACCTAATGAAAAAAAAAATATATATATCTATATATCTCTTGTAGTGGTAAAGACAACTGTTCTTCTGGCTGACATAAATGACTTTGGCACTGTCAATGAAATCTACAAAATGTGTAAGTAATTTGTCTTTATTCCTACTTACTTTTAAACGGAAGTATATCTACTAATATAAATGAGTATCATTGTCAAGTGAAAGTGACAGAGATGTTGAAATGAATGGAAACATATCGTAGTATGCCCTCATGAAAAAGATTTACTATATTTCTACCCCAATTCTTAAAACTCTAACATATGTAAACCCTACAAATTCATTTTCCTAAAACTTAATTTTCTAATTTGTTTCTTTGGTGTTTGTAAGCCCTCCCCTAAACTTGCTTAGACATACAGACTGACTGCTATTGCTGTGATATAGTCTAACTACCATCTTTGTTCTGGCTATCTCAGAATCCCTAGGGAGTTACTTAACATTTTTATGCTGCTTTCTTAGTAGTGTGTATAGTAAGGACAGTATTCTGCTACCATAGGAAGCTGTTAAAATGATTACATTAATTATCCTAAAAAAAACACTTAGAACAGATGCTGTCATGTAAGCTCTGAGAAAATGCTACTGTTGCTGTCATTGTCATGGTGGGGAAAGTGGGTCCCTGTCTTCTGGTGGGATGAAATGAGGGTATGGCCTGGAAAAAAACATCATTATTATTCTCTGCAGAAGAAATGACCAGAGGTTCATGGGAAAGCCCCCGCTGATGATAAGAAGCCATTCCCTGTTTTGATAACTGGTTCACAGGAATCACTGTAAAACCCAAACCTGTTCTCATCATTATAAGACAAAAAGCCAGATTCTGTGTTTCAGTGTTTTATAGAATACTTAGAAAGCTCGTAAAGCCATGTGACAGAATATCGTGTCAGACAATCCAAATGTCAGCTTTTCTGAAGCGTCATTTGTGGGAATAGGCAGCCATGAGGCAGCTCCCAGATTCTTGCTTCTCTTGCTGAGTAAGAGCTCATGTATGGAGACTGTCCTGACACTGTTCTGCATTCAGATTTCCAGGGTAACCTTCCTGCCAGGGCTGCTTACCAAGTCGCCGCTTTACCCAAAGTAAGTACTCAGTAAAATGCCAGTGCACACGAGTACATGAGACCCATCACTCTGAAAGGAGACTTAAAATTAATTCAGCTCCTGATCTCAGAAATATAGAGTCTAAAAGTAAATACCTTGATAACTGTCGTGTACCTGGAAAAAGCTAAGAAATCTTATAAAGCAGCACAACTGAGGACTTAAATGACAAGAGAAACCTTAAGAGCAGTTGTGTTGTAATGTTACTTAGAGAAGGAAATTAGTGCTGGGGTGTTAGTTCTGTAGTCAAAGCCTTCCCCTGGAGGAGTGGTAAACTGCTGGCCCTCCTGGGTGTTTCCCTGCAGTCTGATGTCACGCCTCTAAAAGGCGGTTTCAGTAAGGACTTCTGAGCATGAGGCACAGTATAGAGTTATGTGGGGGCTTCTAGACGCTGCTCTCGCTGAAGGAAGCTCAACATACCAGCAAGGTGGGGGCTTACACCCTTGCAAGTTTCTACTGTATTTTAGAGTATTGGCCAGAGAATTGGGGTATTACTATTTACCTTAATTAAAAAAAAAAAAAATCACCTGGCTCTCATATAATGAAGAATCTAGTTGGAATGATATTCTGTAAGCCAGTGGCACACAATGCCACCATTCTGGTTTTGGTGTTCCCTCACTGGGGCCTTTTTTCCTAGGCCTCCTGCCCATACTGTACGCCTGCCAGGAAGCAGCAGCTCCTACTCCCTTCTTGTAACTTGCCAGTAAACACACTGTACCACCTAGGAGTGGCATTTGTTGTTGTTTTAGTTAGTTGTCACTGGGCAGGGTCATTGTCAAAGCGAAGGTATTGGGTATAGTTAAAAGAACTTTAAACTTAGAATCAGAAGACATGGATTTGATCCTCCACTGTTTGTCTTTGTGAAGTGGGAAACTTTCCCAGCCTTTCTGAAGACAGTGCTGTGTTTCCCAAGTTCAGTTCCCACTCCTGCGGGAAGCCAATGAGCTCATGCATATGAATGTGCCTAGCATGGTAGCTTGACATATTGCAGGGTCTTAGTGAATTTTCTCTATTCGTTGTTTTCTATGAGGAGATTAATGGTCAAAATACTATGCTGCCATTAGGAGCGTATGTTCTTAAAAGGTATTATTGAATCTAAATTGGTGTTAAATGATCGAGACTGTGACTCTCTTTTCCTACAGGGGAGTCGAATTGAAATTGAAGCAGTTGCTGTCCAGGGGCCCTTCAGCACAGCATGACTATAAGTAGTTATGCAGATGCTGACTCTGAAGTTTTTAGAATGTCTTTCACACCTTAATTTTTACAAATGATGCTGGGAAATACAAACATGACCAGAGTGGCTGCAGTCATCATGGAAATGACCATCTCTATGAAGATTTGATATTAACTGGAGATCATTCAGTACAGTGAGTGATATTCGGATTACACGTGCAGACACTTGCACTGTTGAGTGTGATCACAGACTCAGCTCAGCCACTCAAGTGGGGATTGGGAAGGGAAAGGTGAACAATATAAAGAGCACACCTAATTCAGTTAAATTATATTAATTTTCTCATGTGAAATATTTACTTCTCATGTTAGATATAGGAAAGCGAATCAAAATATTGACTTGAATAGTACAAAAGAAGAAAGTGGACCAAAATCTTGTACAGATAATATTTCTCTAATGAAAATAAAAAAAATAGATTTGTAACTTTCCCTTGGTGTAATTTGTTCGCTTATTTTTTTTTAACAGTTTGTACATTAAAACTAGTACCTAGTAAAGTGAGGATAAGAATTGTGAAGTTAAATCTCTAGCTCTTTCATTGCTTTATTTCTAGCTTTCTACATTTTACAGGTATAATTATCTTGTGTATAATTATCAAATGCTTATGTTTAAAGCCTTATTTTATGTGTCTGACTGGTTTGCCTGCCTGTTTGTGCATACATGTATGCAATGCCTCCTGAGACCAGAAGAGGTTATATCTCCATCTCCACTTTAAAGTCTTTGGTTGGCTTTTGAGGTATGCTATTTTGCTGTGTATGTTATCTAGACGGAGCCTCCTGCCAGGCTTAGGCAGACTTCTTGCCTCAGCCGCTAGGATAGCTGGGACTAATGGTCACCCAGCTGTGGAAGGAATCTGGTGTGTGTGTGTGTGTGTGTGTGTGTGTGTGTGTGTGTGTATGTGTGTGTGTGTAAGCATCACCTGTCAACAAAAAGATAATGACCTATTAGCTAAGGCAGGAAATAGGCGGTGGGAGTTCTGGCAGAGAGATATGAACTCTGGGAAAAAGACAGGGGTGAGTGTGGGGATGCCAGGGAGGTGGGGGGGTGATTTGCCTTGGGACTCTGAGAAGGAAGGACACATGAAACTGAGGAAAGGTAATCAGCCATGTGGCACACAGAGAACAGATGGGTCAAGGAACAAGCAAAAACTTATAGCCTAGGCATTTCTTCATACATGATAAAGTCTCAGTCAGAGTCGTTACTTCTGGGGAACGGAAGGAGCACCTGGCAGTTACACCAGCCCTAAAGCCTTTCCACATTTTTAGACAACTAAGTGAGTAATTTCTCATGGTAGAATAAATCCTAGCACAGAATAACAGATTTAAAATTCTCCTGGGTCACATTTCTCCCCCAAAGAGTAACCACTATCAGGTGCTTTCTGTGAAACTGGCAGATAGCCTTTTACCCATTACATTCTCCTTTATCTGCCTCTTTACATAAATGAACTGTCAGCATATACATTATTCTACAACTTGCTTCCATATACAGGTATAGATTTGTTATAAAATTTAAAAGTCAATTTTTAAAACTAGATTTTAAAAACTTTTGAAGTTTTAAAACTACAGTAGGCTATTCTTTTGTATGGATAGATTTTAGGTGATATAACTACTTGTACAAACCAGTGTTTTCAAAATTAACAGTTTACATCATTGCTACAATGGTATTTGTTGGGTGACTTTTTGCAGATGGGGACAAATGTCTCTATATCCTAAAAAGGACACCAACAGCATGCCAATGAAATTATTCCGTCCAAGTCTACCTTAGTTACTTCTACAAGCATAAATACCAAAAAGCCCGCCTTATCATGGGCAGTGACCCATAAAAAGCTCCTACACACCTTCAGGCAGCTTAGCTAGTTAGAGACGCTGCCTCAGCAATTGTTACTGCTTATATAACCTTAGGAATATAAACTCAAGAGCTTTTTAAGCATTCTCAAGCATCCAGCAAGGCTCCAAGAACAGATCCGGCTATGGCATTGAGGGAATAAAGAAAGGACATATGGACAGACACACAGAAAGCTGGGATTGCGTGGTTTGAGCTGGGGAAATGTCAGCACTCTGGAAGCTCAGCATGTTTATTATATATGGTTGAGCAGGGAGGTGTCATTATACAATCAGCTGGAAAAAAAGAAAAAGGAAAGACATGACTGTCCCTAGGTATGGTGGAGGACTTTTTAGTTGTAGATATGAGGGAGAGTATAGCCAAAGGGAGAGATCTAGGAGAATGCAGAGTGAACATGACCCTGAGGGGCCATGTGAGGAGAGTGGGAAGAGGAAAGAGACGACCAAGAGAATAAAGAATAGATGAGAAGGGAGCCCAGTGACCAAAATGGCTGGGTTGTATAGGGAAGGGCAACTGGGGAAAGGGCAGCCCAGCCCTAACCAGTAGAGAATAATGGATGCCAGGAGAATCTGGCAGCCAGGGCCACTTTGATATGTTAAATAGGTATGTCAGCAGTTTGCGCTGGGTTTGAGCTCTAACAATTGCTTAAACTTGGTCCTCCAAGGAAGGCTTTGCCATCGCTCTGAGCCTGAGTCTATGGGGTCCTTGACAGGGCAGCCAGGGAGTAAAATGTGGTTTGAATAAGAATGTTCCCTGTAGGGTAGTATGTTTGAATGCTTAGTCATGAGGGAGGAGCGCTACTTGGGAGGGATTAGTAGGTGTGGCTTGTTGGAGGAAGTAAGTCACTAGGGATGGCCTTTGAGGTTTCAAAAGCTAAAACAGGCCCAGTGACTCTTTCCGCTTCTTTTCTCCAGCACCATGTATGCCTGTGTGCCACCATGCTGTTAACAGACCAAACCTCCGAAGCTGTAAGCTCGCCCCAATTAAATGCTTTCCTTTATAAGAGTTGCCATGGTCATGTGTCTACTCACAGCAATAGAACACTGACTAAAACAGTATCTTTAAGGATTTTACAAAGAGTTTTGATGTAATCACGTCTGAGCTGCATTTAGCTTACTTTATTCCTCAAGGAGATTTATGTCTGCTTTGTTGTGCATGTGGGATTGAGTTAATCAACACCAGAATAACTTTCACCAAATTATGGTGTGTGTAAATATGCCTAAAATAAACGACTTGGGGTCAGACTCCCTAAGTTTGAACCAACACGGGCTCCTGAGTCATGTTGAGCCGACTGCCTTCTTGCTTCCCATGGCTCATCTCTCTGCCCCCATGAAGGTCACAGAGACACCCTCCCAACTCCCTTCCTACATTGAAGTGATGACTTCCAAACCAAACTCTAGATCAAAGAGCTGGAAGTAAAATGAGATGTGGCAGCCAGGTTAAACTTTGGGACTGGGTTCCTTCCAGACCAATGGAAAAACACTGATATTTTGTGTTTATTTATATTTTGTTAAATATAAATGAGAATGGCAGTGCTGGCCTTTCAAACACAGTTTTGGTAAACCAGACACATGCCTATAATGAACACTCAGGAGTGGGAGGCAGGAGGATTAAAAGATCAAGATCATTGGCTACATAAGTGAGTTCCAGGACACTGCTGTAGGTTACATGAGACCCTGTCTTAAAACAACACAAACAAACAAACAAAGTTAAACATTTTATTAGTCAAGAGTTCTCTAGACTCACAGAATTTATGGAATGAATATTTATTGGAATGACTTACAGGTTGCAGTCCAACTAACTCAACAATGGTCAGCTGTGAATGGAAAGTCCAAAAATTTAGTAATTGCTCAGTGTCATGAGGCCAGGTGTTTCTGCTGCATTTCTATATAAGCTTTAATCCCAAAGAAGTATGCTCCAATGGATGTGCTGGCAAAGTTAGTGGAAGCAGGTGAAGAATGCATGAACCCTTCCTTCTTCCATTGTCCTTATGTAGGCCTCTAGCAGAAGGCATGGCCTAGATTAAAGGTGTGCCTCAAGATCTAGATTAAAAGCATGCATTGATCTGGATTAAAAGTGTGTGTCTTCCCACCTCAAGGTCTGGTTCAAGAGCTTATATCTTCCAGCCTCAAGATCCGTATCATAGGTGTGCCCTCCATTTCTGGATTATAGTTTATTCCGGATATAGTCAAGTTGACAACCAAGAATAGCCATCACAAACATCCTACAAGATACCTAAAAACAACTCACCCATATTTCTTTACTATTGTCATATTCTTTTTACTGTTATTTTTGAAACAGGGTCTTGCTATGGAGCCTTGGCTGGCCTGGAACTCACTTTGTAGACCAGGCTGGCCTCCAACTCACAGAGATCCACCTGCCTCTTCTTCCCTGAGTGTTGGGACTACAGGTGTCTGCCACCACGCCCGGCTTACTGTCATCTTCTTTACCTCAGAGAATATAGAATCTGTCTTTTTTTTTTTCTGAAGGGCAAAATAGATCAAAAGAAATTTCTATCTGTGTATCAACAGTTCAAACAAATACACCAGAGTAGGCTTTCAAATACTTAATTAGTTGTGATAACATATTTGCTTAATCAAAAGTTCTAAATGTTGAGTGAATGACACAAAATCTATACAAATTCTGGCCATAAGTTCCCCCACAGCCAGTTATAATTAGTCATAAGGAAACTGCCATGGTTACACAATGGTAAAGAATATTTGCCATAGATGAGTATTTATAGAATGCCAAATTTGTTTTGGCTCCTGTAGAGAAAAATAAAGATGCGCCAGATCTCAAGAAGACTCACAGTCTCCAATAGCGTAATAAATGTTCCATAAGCCTACCTTGATATTCACAAACACAAAGCACTTAACAAAGAACAAAGTCACTACCATACTGTGGTTCACACAATCATCAGCAAAATCCATGGCCTGTGTTGGAAGAATTCTGAAAAAAATGACTTTCTGTGGTCCATAGATTCGTCCATTGGCTTCTTAGCTTTTCCACATCTAAATCCTAATGCTAATTTGCAGTCACTTAAAACAGGCTCAGGAAAATTACACATAAACAATAAAGCTAAGCTAGGGTGTTTGGGGGTTTGTTTATTTGTTTGTTGGGGGGTTGGTTTTCGTTTTCACCTTTTTTCCCCATACATGTGTGCTGTGCATGTATGCATGCTCACATATGTGTGGAGAAATGTGTGTACATTTGTGTGTAGAAGGACAAGGTTGATACCAGAAACATTCCACAATTACTTTCACAGTATTTTTTTCAGGCAGAGTCTGTCACTCAAAACCACAAAGCTGTGAGACTAGTCTCCCTAGCCAGCTTGCTTGGAGGACCCCTATCACTGCCCTCTGGGCTGAATTTACAAGCAGCTTCCACGCCCACCCAGAGCTCTTGCTGAGGATCCAACTCTCATTCTTTGCTTAGAAGCAAACACTTTAACTGCTGAGTTGTCTCCACTGCCCTGAAGCTAAGACTTAATCCTTGCTGGGTATTTGTTACTGCCTCAGAAATGCACTAAAAGTTAGGAATTTAAAATTAGTTTACAGTTAGTAAGTAAAACAGACAAGGAAAAATCAGCAACTGAAAATAAACTCACAAAAGTATAAAATCACTAGCCAATTCAAAATGGCACATGGAAAATGTGGACACTTCCATTGTGAGGAACGACAAACCTTGCAATAGCACCCCAGTTTGCATTCCTCTGGAAATGTTTGTTAACGTTTAGAACAGCATAGTACACAGCAATCTGTAGTAGTAGATAGATTTCAGGACAGAAGGTAATTAGGTTACAGACTCCCTACAGTTCTCATCAGTAATTTCTATTACACGACAAAAATATTAGGTGTAGTTCATCCTGCGTTCTGTGGGTATTATTCCATCATTATGATAACTACATAATTCTCTGATCATGAGTTTCTGAAAATGTGTTAATTCCTCTCTCTAGCCACCTACATGAAATCCTTTTAGGGTCTCATCTTATTAATGGTCCCATGGCCACAAGGAAGAAAATCACCTTCACGTCCATGATCTTAAAGTTTTTATTGGCTCTGGTTATTGTCACTTTAAATGCATAATTATCCTAAATGCCTAAAAAGAAGTGTGTCTAGCTTAGCAGTTCTGTGGCATAACATGATAAAAAATAGTGTCATTCTCTTGGTTCCTACAATCTACAGCTACACTCCTTGCATAAACCACATAGCCAGAGAGATGGTACCTGCCCTCACAGCCTCAAATTTTCCTGACCTGCTAGAACACTGTGCACACTAGCCCTTCTCTTGCTGTCCCCTGCTGCTCCAAGATCCACAGCTTCTGTTTCCTTTTCTTCGGTTTCAGCTTCTTCACTTTCTTTCTCATTTTTCATCTCTGCTTCCACCTTTTCTCCTGTCTCACCTAGAAAAAGCAATCAAAGGAGATAATAAGAAACACCTGGTTAGCAGTGTATCCTAGCTAGTTTATGTCAACTTGACACAAGCTACAATTATTTGAAAGGAGGGAACCTCAATTGAGAAAATTCTTCCATAAGATCCAGCTGCAAGTCATTTTCTTAATTAGTGATTGATGAGGGAGGACCCAGACCATGGTGGGTGGGGCCATCCCTGAGCTGGTGGTCCTGGTTCTATAGGAAAGAAGGCTGAGCAAACCACGGGGAGGAAGTCAGTAAGCAGCACCCCTCCATGGCCTCTACATCAGCTCCTGCCTTCAGGTTCCTGCCCTGCTTGAGTTCATGCCCTGACTTTCTTCAATAATGGGCTATGGTATGGAAGTGTAAGCCAAATAAACTCTTTTCTCCCCAACTTGCTTTTGGTCATAGTATTTCATCACAGCAATAGTAAGTAACCCTGAATAAGCACACTGAAAATGTATTACCCCACTAGGTCAATTTTTGTCCTCTAGTTCTACACAATAGCTTCCTTCTGTGCTGTCATGCCAGCATTCTCCTCATTCCTTAGAGCCTCTGAAAGGCCGGCGTCATGTCACTTAACATCCCTGAGTCTTGGCCTGCTTGCAAAGTTGGGATGCAAAAATTCCCTAAGAAACAGAAGTTTTTGAAAAGTTTTGTTTGGAGATGAAGTAATGTCTCAGTGGATTAGAGCAATCACTACACAAAGTGTGAGTACCTTGAGTTTAAATCCCCAGCACCGATGTAAGGAGCCGGATACAACAGAACATGTCTGCGACAAAGCAGAGACAGGCAGATCCTAGAGCTCATGAGCTAGACAGAGTCACCATTCAGTTAGTTAGAAGTAACTAAAGCAATAAGCTTTAGTTATTGGGAGGAATAGTTGGATTGCAAGACTATCTCAAACAGAAGGGTGAGGGAGAACAGTCTAACACCTGCCTCGGGCCTGCACGCATGTGCACACGCACATGGACGTCCAGGGAGAGACACTACTAATAAAATAAAGTAAGTTTAAAATTTTTTGACACAGCCTATGCTTTAGAAATGATTTGCTCGGAGCTGATGAGCCTTGGGGGAATATGTTTCCCAAGTAAGCAGAAGTCTTTTTTGTTTGGGTCCAGTGAACTTCAGGCACTCAACAGACTTTAACAACTCTGCCAGCCCCTCTGGCCCCATAGCTGGCCTCCATCCCTTTGGAGCCTATCCAAGTGGTCAGACCCTCGGCCAACCTCCTTTTACCCTCAATGTGCTGCTCCTCTTTATCAGTGTGAGTTTCTCTAGCCACTTCCACATTTGCTGCTGTCTCTGCGGTTCCCACCAGCTGCTCCTTGCTTCCACCTGTTGCTTCAGGTTGAGATTTACCGGCATTTCTGATACTGTCAAGAGGTCCACAGGATGACTTGTTCATTACAGGTGTCTGCTCAAGCTGGCTTCTGTCTGGCATTTGTGGCATTTCATTCAGTTTCAGAACTGTTTCCAGAATTTGGGGCTGCTCAGTTTTGCCTGGTGTTTCCTGAGATGGCTGCTTTCTACTGCTTTCTGCAGTCTGACTCCCTTCCACTATTTCTGCAAAGTTGTTCTCTTTAGGAATTGTTTCTAGAAGCTGGAACTGCTTGTCCTTTCTCAGGGTCTCTTGAAGTTCCTTTTGTTCAGCTTTTTCCACAAACTGATGCCCTTCCACTGTTTCTGGGGAGTTGTTCTCTTTGGGAATTGCTCCTAGAATCCGGGATTGTGCATTGTTTCCCATTGCTTCTTTAGATGGAAGCTCGTTGGCTGTTTCCAGAGGCAGAATGTTCTCAGCTGCTTCTAGCTTTGTCATTCCAGTCTGTGGAATCTCCCTGCCTTCCCCTGCTCCAGGGGAGTCTGTCTCTGCTGATGTCTTCAGAGGCTGTCTCAAGGCTTCTGTTCCTAGAGATTCAGTCTCAGCATTTCCTTTTACAGACTGGGACTCTGTCCTTGTTTCCATATCTTCCTTCATTTCCTCATCTCTTAGGGTAGTGTCTTTGCCTTCTGCCTGAAATAACTCATACTCTTCCCCTTGCACTAGAGGCTCAGTCTTCTTTGTGAGTTCTAACTCATCTGTGGCATCCTTTCCAGGGGCCTCGTCATTTGCCAGAGGTTGTTGGTGGTAGGATTTAACACCATTAGCTGTAGGCACCACTGAGGCCTTGGGCCTCTCTGGTGGAGGATGGCTTTCCCTTTGCGCATTGCCATAGAAGGCAGCTTCTCTTCCTGGTATACATGGTTTGGGTTGGGCCACACAGAACTTGCTTTGCTCTGCAGCGGAAGAATTCTCATTTGAAGGTACTTTTTGGCCATTTGGTTGGAAAAAGAAAGAGTAAAGTGAAAAAGAGAGAATAGAATTATTATTTAGCCATTTTGGAAAGGTAGTTGACACATCAAGTAGATTTAATGTTTCAGTCAAACCATGACCCTTACTCCAAATCAAAGCCCTTTAACATTGTCAGCCCTCACCTTAAGCCTTAGGTCCTCTGAGCCAGCTTTCTCCTGAGCACCCTTCAAGGGCTCTGTCCCACAAACTAGTTTATCTAGTTTACTTTGTTTCTCCTCTTCTCACCCTTTCTTTTTCTCTTTAGCTTTCCTGTTGTGGTTCTTGGGCTATTAGACTCAAAGTGGCCCTCAGTGAAAAGGAAAGGCTCCACAATAGAGGAGCCCTCAGAGCAAAAGGCTAGGTACCCTGGCAAGGGGAAGTACAAGGACAGCTCACCCTGAGTTTCCTGTCATGCTAGGGGTCCTGACATGTTCACATGGTAGTGAGTCCCTCGTCCACTTCTGAGTCCTGAGAGGCATCCCAGCATATTAAACAATGTCTGCAAGAGTGCTCAAGACAGTTTAGGACAAACAACTATTGTATTCCTGGGTTCATGACCACATGATCCAGTAGTACTCTTACTATTGGGAAGTTATACAAAAGCCTTTAGAAGGTGATGCAGGGGGATCATCCAAATGTTCTTCCTAACAGCAGAAGCTGGAAAACAATTTAAAAGTCTAAAAATACCTTCCACTGGGTGCAATACTGCCCCATGACTATGACTGTGAAGACCAGGTACTGACCAGTGACAGAAACCTGTGAGCGCAAACAAAGGATCAGCATTCATGTTGGGTTGACCAAACAAGGGGAAGCAAATGATGTATGTTAGGGTCCATCTGTGGATCAGACAGCCCACAAAGCCAGATATTGGTGTACAGCGGACCACAGCTAAGTTAAAAGAAAGGAGAGAGGAAAAACAAATCACAGAGGGAGGGGAGCTGGAAGAAAATAACCCCTGATGTTAAAGTGGGTCTGGAGGTAATATTTTCTTCTCCTTCCCTCTCCCCTTTTGAGAAGGTGTTTCCTCACTTACCCTTCTCTTTTCCCAGCCAGGTTATATATGCACACAATGTAAAGACTGGTCCTTGAGGGAGGTAAGTAATGCTCAGGCCTCCTCATCTCATTTCCTCATCTCTAGGGGCAAATGTTTTCAATCTTTTTGCTGTTAGGAGAGGATGTTCGTTTGTTGGAAAGACCAGCCCCCACACAGGATCTGCTGGCTTCAGCCTCACAGTGCTGGGATTTTGAGTGTGCCCCACCACACCCTGCTGGAAGAATCTTTTTTTCTAGGTATCTAAATGAATTGTACTTTAGGATATTTTGGCGTGGGGCATTTCAATCAACTCCTATTACAGAAGAAAAGGATGCTGTAGCTCATTTTTCTAATCTGCTTCCACTGTGACTCCACCCTTTCCCACTACACATTTGTATCTTTTTTTCAGTTCAGTAATTATGTTCTGATAACTACTTAAAACAGTCATGGTGTCATAACTTAGAGAACACAAAATGAGAGCCATGTTTTCAATCTGACCCCAACAGACACTCTAATGAGTACGGCTTATAACAAAAAGAAAAGTGCTTTTTCCAATTAAACACATAGGTGATATAGAAAGGTAATTTCTGAACAAACAAGAAAAACCAGAGTCTCTGCCCTCTGATATTACAGAGTCATGGGAATCACTGTGGTAATCACATGGACCCGGTGGGAAGCGATCTGGCAAGCACTGACAGAAAACAGCTTCTTTGGGGTTCCTAAAGAATATATAAGGAGTTCTAGAGGCTTCGGGGAAGCTGGAGGCCAGGGCTGGCTAGATGAGATCGAAGAGAAGCCTCTAGGTGGAGCTCATGAGCTGAGAGTGAATCGTGAAGAACAGGAATTGTGAACAGGGCTTTATGAAAAAGTTGAATATAGAGCCTGGCGAGGTGGCCTATGCCTGTAACCCCAGCACTCTGGGAAGCACAGGCAGGTGGAGCTCTGTGAGTTCGAGGCCAGCTAGGTTTACAAAGCCAGTTCCAGGCCAGCTAGGACAATACACAGAGGAAACCCTATCTTGAAAAACTATATATTTTTAAAAAGTTGAATATATGTGTTTATGTATGTATGTATGTATATATACGTGTGTGTGTGTGTGTGTGTGTGTGTGTGTACATATATATATATATATAAGACGTGGAACACAGCTCAGAAGTACTGCATGTGTTTGGAGTACACAAGATACTGGGTTTGGTTCTCAAGTCAATATACATACAAGCAATATACACAGCCATTTTGCTCTTATTTTGCCAGGAGAAAAGAAAACAGTTGTTTACAGAGAGATGTATACGTAAGTGTCAAGAAGGTGAATGGAAACATTTAAGTATTTTCATTCAATGGAATGCTATACCAAGCGCAGTGGTACACACCTGGAATCCCAACAATCAGGAGACAGAGGCAAGAAGATCACAAGTTTGAGGCCAGCCTATTCTACAAAATAAGTTCCAGGACAGCCAGGGCTACATAGTTTGACCTGACTCAAACAAACAGAAATAGCAACTGATAAGTGCAATGCCTGATAATTCACCAATTTTCAAAATAATGGTGCTGCTGGAATAAGGAAGAAATACTGGAGTAAAGAGCATATACTGCATGGTCACATTGTTTATAAACTAGAAAACTTTACAACTTGCTCAACAATGATAGAATGGAGACTAATGTGTGAGACCTGGGAATGAATAGGAGAGTTCCAAGTGGCACCAGGAAATGTTTGGAGAAATGGAAACAGTCACTATCTAGATTGCTAACTCCCATGGGGGCATCTGTGGGTATACACAGATGCAAGACTTGCTGAAATCTTACAACAATGTGCAGGCTATATCATCAGCATATCAACAACAGCCCCCCAATCTGCTAATTCTAACATAATAAAATCATTTGGAGAGAAACTGTGAACGTGGGCATGGGTAGATCAGATACTAATTTTGAAAAGCCTCCCTCTTAGGCCTAGGGCTTAGTTCAGTGCTCCTGGACCCAGATATGAGCGATACAAACTGGACGGAATGACAGTGAAGGAGAGGTCTCGGGTACCACTGGGTAGTAATGTGGATCCTGGAAACAGAAAATATGGGTAAAGGATTTAGTTTGAGAGAGAGACCTGCATGGTTTTGCCTGAGGCGTGTGGTGGCGGCAGGTGTAAGTTGTGTATAGAGAGGCAAAGTCTGGGAGGCAGCCAGATCTTGACCAGAAATGCATGGTGTCTCTGTCTGGAAAAGGGCGGTTTGGGCATAAAGGCTAAAAGAGGATAAGTAGAGGGGGGAGAGACCAGAGAAAAAGAGAGATCCTATGTCTCTCCACCTTGCTCTACAGACTGAATGTGACTCTTACAAGAAGGTCCAGAGACAGAAAAGCAAAATTCAGTGAACAGTTTTCTGAGCAGCTAGGTACAGGCTCTCAGTGTTAAGGGATCATGACTACACTGAGCGAGGTCTCTCTTCATCTCCCTTCCCTACCTCCTTCATCATAAATGAAACATTCAAAACAACAGCAAGGGGCTAGAGAGCTAGCTCAGCGTTTAAGAACACTGGTTGCTCTTCCAAAGGACCAGGGTTCAATTCCCAGCACCCACATGGCAGCTCACAACTGTCTCTAATCTAAGATCTGACATGCTCACACATATAATGCACATAAAATAAAAATAAATAAGTTATTGGAAAAAAAACAACAGTAAGAAATGCAGCATAAAAAGTGCTTTCTCAGGCCACAGAGAAACCCATGATGAAACAACTCACTTTGCTTCCACACAAGGCTGTCCTGGCAGTTGCCTTCTGGGGTTAATAGGAAGTGCATTACCATATTAATCACAGTGAAGTAGTTACTATAGTGACTAGTGCTGTTAGTGAAATGAAGCAAGCCCTGTTCACCCAGCCGTGCCAACTGGGGGCCTCCCCAATGTGTCACCCTTCTAAAGCACAAAGCTTTGGAGGGATGGTATTGACACACCCAAAACACAGGCGCAGGTTTTTATAGAAAAAAAAATTTTTTGTCTTTGAGACAGAGTTTCTTAGTATTATAGCCCTGGCTGTTCTAGACTTGCTGTAAATCAGTCTGGACTCACAAAGTTCTCTGCCTCCTGAGTGCCCGGCACCCCTTTATACGAATATATTTCACAGTTAAATCTGTAAGACTAGACAGTTTGCTAAATAGGATTAACAGAAGCATCTGATAATCCATTTTAGAAGATAAGGGTGAAATAATCTAGACACTATCTGAATTAAATCAGCATACAGCTCTTAAGAACCTAATAAGCGCTGAGAGGTAGTGGCACACACCTTTGATCCCAGCACTCAGGAGGCAGAGGTCGGTGGGTGGTAGATCTCTGAGTTCAAGGCCAGCCTGGTCTACAAGAATGAGCTCCAAGACAGCCAGGGCTGTTACACAGAGAAACCCTGTCTCGGAAAAACAAAACAAAACAAAAATTTCTTGAGCTTAAAATACGTTATCTTTATTAGTTAAATCCATTATTTGACAGTTAGCAACAGAAAGAATGAAGTGCAGCATGAAAGGGCTCTGGTGCACAGTCCTTTAAACACTATGAGTTGTCAATACTGGCCTACAAAAGTATAGCGTTCTCATGATGGGCTTGAAAGCAGGATCAGTGATGGACAGCGGTCAGAACAGCAGCAACAATTTTGATCACACTTGACTAACCTCAAAAAGTGCCACTAGTAACTTTTATTTTAAGAAAAGAAAAAGAAAAACAAAACACTTGAGGGCTGCAGAGCTGATTTAACAGTATGAGTGTACCCTCCTTCAGGAGGCCCAGCTTGAGTCCCAGCTCCTACATCAGGTAGCTCATATATCACCTGTGACTCCATCTTCAAAGGAACAGACACCTCTGGCCTCTATAGGCACCTGCACTCAGGTGCACATTCACACATTCATATGTGTAGTTGAAAAATGATAAAAATTATCTTAAAATCATGAATAAGAACTGTTTCA